TAGCAAAAATAATAATAATAATAATAGTAACAATAATAATAATAGTAACAATAATAGTAATAGTAACAATAATAGTAATAATAACAGTAACAATAATAATAGCAAAAATAATAATAACACTGGTCACTCTACTACCACTGCTGCTACCACGACCACCACCACAACCACCGGGAAGGTGGTAGGGACAGCCTGATAGAAGTTTAGGGTCTGCCTTGGGGCGGCGAGTTCGCCTAATGTTCGGTAGAATCTGACATAGAGATCATTTCTCTTGAACATAATTCTATTCATTCCTGCTGTTCCTGATCTCGCCGTTGCCTGACTTCGCTGCCGCCTGTTTGTTTAGCCAATCTTGGTGTTGATCTCTCAGAGATCTAGTCATCCTGTGAATCAGGTAGAAAATCTTGTTGCCTGGCCTCAACTGGCCTCCTCGTTCGCTTGCGGACACGTCTGCCTCTGCCAAATGCTGGCGGCGCCGCTGGCGCTGGCGGGACTCGTCCCGGAGAGGTCTCAGGCGGAGGACTGAGACGCGAGTGGCCTTTCAGGCGTCCAGACCTAGGGGTAGATGTGCTAACCAAAGCGAATCCACCTCTTCCTGCCTAGTGTATTCTACAGGAGTCGAAATCTTTCGATGTTCCTGTAATGCCTGTAGCACAAGTTGCTCTTGTAATGCCTCCTGATATCGCTGTTCCTCCTTTTCTGCATGTTGTTACCGCTGTTTCTGACGCTCGCCGATCTCGGTAGCGATCAATGCCCTTCCTGTTTTACCGTGTGCATGCCTCTTTTTCCAGGTCCTCCTGGGAGGAGGGTCAAGCGTGCCACCTGGTAGGTTCTGTAAATCACGGCGTCGTTCACCCGAGTGATTCATCGCTGTTCAACTCCTGCATGTATCCTGTCTTGTTGCCGATCAAATCGCAATTTTCCATCGCTGTCAAGTGTCTCTCGAATCTCTTCAATCCTCCGCCTCTTTAGCATCGATTCCGTGAATTCTGGCATTTGAATATCGATGTTCTGGAAGGTCGGAAGTCGGGTATTTGAGGTGATATTTGGCCCGTTTAGCCACCACCGCGGGTGAAGTAACGTTCGCGGAATGGGCTCGCGGGTCAGGTAGGCACGTCCGAGATAGTGCCTGCAGGGTAGGAGGACCTGGTGGAGTAGCGAACAGTGACAAACGCCTAGTTCAGCGTTCTCAGAGGTCATAATCAACACGTGGATTTCGGTCAGGGTCTTGCGCAGTTCCTGCTAGGCGTAGCGCTTACTCAACGCCCGAATGCGACGCTATGCCCCAGCCTGAATTCGTCAAGTCGGTAAGGCTTTTCGTTGTCACTCTGGGGGTCATTGCCTTGCCATACTCTCCGAGTCTTGTCCAGTATTGTGATAAATTGATAGAATGGTGGAAGGCTGGGAGGCAGCCAAATCACAGAAGGGAACATGAAACCGGAGTAAGAAGCTAATGATGAGTGATTTCGAGAGTTGAGACCACTTGAATGACGTCATCCACGAGCTGACCCTCTTCTCAAACGCTTTCCTCTAGTTCTACAAAGTGTGAGTCACTCCTACATGGCAAGACAATCCGTAGGCGGCCACTACGCCGTATTTGACGGTCCCTTTGGCGGTGAGCAAAACACCAATCAGAGGTGCAAGGTCAGTGGACGAATAAAACATGCAGAAAACGCGTGAGGCGTGCCCGAGGAACGACGGCTGTTGCGTTGCTGCCTGTCCACCCCAGCCACCCACTTACATCGCCCTAGATAGCTGTCTCACCGAGCCAAGGAGTCCCCCTGTGACCGGCATTCGGGGATGGGGTGGTGGTGCGTGGCGGGCTTCTATTTGCAAGGCGGACAGGTCGAGTTACACAGAGTATGCTGGGCGCTGGCGAGGCAGATTTGACATCAACATGTTTTTGCCCGGTAAGACAACGGATAAATAGCACAGCACATTCAACTACAGCCCCGGTGTTTTGTTTCCCTCTCTGTCCTCGACAGCCTTCTCTCTTTCTTCGACAAGACTCATACTTATTTGGCCCTCTGCCAACAACGTCTGCAATCCCCTCCGACGCTCGAGCTATTTCGTCTTTTCTCCCACTTTCCGCCATGTGTATTCGTTCGGAGGATGTCGTCCGATGGATATACTGGGCTGTCCGCTTTATCATGTTCTTGTTCACTGTCGCCATCGCCAACTTCGAAATCTTCGTCATCGTCTCCGCAGTTGATTGGCTCCGCGACTTCGACAAACTCTCTGGTCATAACTCTGACTGGAATTGGACCGTGGCCATTCTCACCATCGCCGCTTTCCGCGTCGCGTTCAACGCTGGAGAGAGCTTCATCAGCTTTCAGGACTGGAACAAGATGAGAAAAGCATACTCGCCCACACCTATGAATTACATAGGTCTCTGTTTCATTGCGGTTGTGGATCTCATCCCCTCCGCCATATACTGGGTCCACGTGCGCCCGCGTAACTGGGCGGACGTGCTGCGCCAGGCGGGACACGCCGACCACGCCGACAACTTTGACAAGTTCGTCAGCTTTCAAGAGGCCGTCATCATTTTCATGTCCATCATTGCCGGAATAGCCGCGATCAATCTCCTGGTCTTCCTTGTCGTGTTGGTTGTGACCTGGCGCTTAGAGCGGATTGATCGCCCATCGAGTCGAAGTCAAAATTGAGGAACCGAGACATGGAGCGTGGCCGACGCGTGGAAAAGAAGGGCATCTCCACCGACACGCCATGGTATGTTCGTTGATGATCATTCCTTCGGGGACCTCGTTAACACGGTCCAGGTGCGGATGACAGGAATACCGGTGTCTGGCAAAGGAATCGGAGGTCTGGAATTCAAGTGTGCAACGTGACAGACATGGCGAAGAGGATAACGGGCGGGATGGTAGGACGGGGATGTTTCGACGAGGCTTTCTTCAGAGCCTTGATGTCTCTTTAAGTGGGATAACTTGATCGCCTGCGGATTTGGATTTGTTGTGTGCGGCGGTGGAAACTATTCGGCTAACCTACCCGAGAGGGTTAGGGCAACAGTCTTTTCTCTCAATAGCGTAGCGAAACAGAAGGAATGGACATTCGTTTTACATACAAGGTACTCTCGTAAGCAACTGAATCGTGAGAACGCGGAACGCCACGTGGGCGGGAAGCTCACGGCTGCTAGTAATCTACGGGTGCAAATTCTTGGTGAGGCTGGGAGGGTGCGCGGTCGCCTTGCGCATAAAATCAAATCCTTGGGGCTGGTTGGACCCGTGACACGCTAGACACGGTTGGTATTTATCTACAAAACCTGGCTGAGGATCCCGCTTGGGTCTTTTGGAATTTCAGTGCGCTCCTCATCTATCAAAATTGCAGCACGAAGAACTATCTGAAAAGGTTGAGGTCCTGTTGTGTGAACAATATCTCAAGTGGCACGTGATGAACATGCCAAGAGACTAGGTCCGTGATAATCTCACACACACACACACACACACACACATTTTGGCCAATCCTCTCCTCGTCGCACACAATGCTGGCAATTCCACTCTCACTTTTCCAATGCCACAGTGCAAACGGCCAGGCCGAGATCTTTCCCCTCCCCACAACCTAACCTCTCCTAAGAGCGGACACTCCAGCACGTACCAACAATAACTCTGACGGCATTTTCCACATGTTGAGGCCACAACTTCACCCTGGCGCCACGCCACGAACTCTCACACTTTCACAGGGCTCGACATGAATGGCCTTCCAAACCAGATAGGGGATAGGGCGGCGCAACCAGCTTGGCACACGCGCCGCCAACTATCCATGTTTCTTCGAGACCTAACCCTCGGTATGCTCCGCGCATCCGTCGAGGTGCGGGTTTGTTTGCATCAGGAGTTCACGGACTGGGGGCCGGCAAGGACCTATGCCAATAGGCTGGCTGCGCCAATTTCATTCGGCCCCCCCTCACCTTCTCTCTTTCTTCTCCTGTAGGCGTCTTGCTTGCAAAGCACCGACGCCACTACTGGCTGCGGGCAGCTGTTGGGTAGTGGTCGCAGTAGTGTTGATCGAGCACTTTCGAGTCTCGGCCCAGGCGGAACCCTCCGAGCCGCACATCACATTGTCTTCAATTGTGTCAGCGGAAAGCAGAATCACACAGCATATCGCTCCTTTCTGTCCTGCTGTCTTGCATGCATGCGCATTCCGACTCTTGTCGGCTGCGCTCTGCGGCGGATGTGATAGGTTTCCGTCATGAAAGACCTGTACCACAGGGTGGACAGATCTGGCACGGAGGGTTCTCAAACGTTTCGTGTAGGAACTACTTGGAATCCGATCCACTAAGGGAACCTTGCAGTTGGTGTTTCTTGTTGGGCAGATAGTAATGGTGGCTGGCCCGAAGACACCGGGGCACATGGCTAGGGGGTCCTCTCTCCTCCTTTTCTCCCGCAGTTGATCCATCTACCCGGTCAGTAATCCTGGAAGACAGTCAATTCATCTATCCCCCCGGTGTGGTCTTGGAATGCCATCGATCTATTATCCTCTCAGTGGTCTTAGACGCAATCGACTCATCTATCCATACACTCAACAGACGCTCCGAGCCGGCCTGAACTTCCAAAGAATGCCGGACAGTCGGGGAGATTCGTGGCTGCGTAGAAAGGGGTACTCGCTCCTGAGAGTATCGAAGCAAAGAGGCTGGATGCTTTGAGACCATCGTCAAGGCCTCTCGACGACATGAGAATGATTTCGGAATATTCGAGATTCGATATGTATCGAGCCGATAACCTTGTACGTGGTCGCGAGATTCGCTGGAGCGTCATGCAGGATCGAATCGGACACGAAATAAACATGGGAAAGCTCGGATTTGTCATTCGTGAGAGAATCCTCTAGTTTCTCCGTAGTCCTTTGATGGTTGTCTCGCACCACGCTCTCCGAATCGCCCACTGGATCTGTCGCGTCCATGATGAACGAGTCGATCGAGAGAGGCGCATCGTCCCCAATGTCGTTCTTTATAGCGGGAGGCTGAGATTCCGTAGCTGCAGTCGTGTGGGCTGTAATGTCTTTGCTGAGCATGTGATGAGGGATGTGAGAGGTCGGAAAGGGAAGAAGCAAAGAAGACAACTCGAGTGTGAGTGGCAGCTTTATACCCCCGAGTCCAGAGCGCTGACTATGCCCACAAGGCTCGTGATGGAGCAGGATGGAACTCAGCCTCTCAAGGACTTTTGTAATCCATCTTCATTACCACCCTGCCACCGCGTCGCGCGTTCGCGGCAACGAGTGAGTGCGCGTCATATGCTACTATTCGGGCAGTTCGAGAAACAACGCCTGCAAGGGACGCCGAGGTTGGCTGCGGAATTCCAAAAACAGGTGGTTGCCTCGCTCCTTTCCAGCAAAAGACCACGGTCATGTAGGTCTGCCTCTCCCGAAAGCTTGTCAAAGCGCCACAGACTCATTTCTGACCTCACCGAGATTTCTGATTGGGTGGAATGCAGATGCAAGGCTCGGAGCTCCTGGGTACGAGTCATACTCTTCCTCTCCTGCAGCGATCTGTTTCTGGCGGGGTTCAGCGGTTCAGAGGGACACTCTGAGTGCTCTGTGCTTATAAGGACGAGCAAAACTCACGAATTAGATATCGGGAGCCTGTTAGCAAATGGTGTTGAGATACAACAATTCCCCGACGGGCAACAACATGCCAGGTCTAGAATCCGTCTGCCGGAGGATCCGCACAAGTGGCAGATCGAGGAAGACGAACAGGCGATGCAGACCGGGAAGAGGATGGGCGAATAGTGCCTCCAGACGTTCCCCAGTGCGTCTTCCGCCCATTTTCTTCCCTGCTTCCGAAGGACACATGTGGCTGACCTGATGCAAAACGCAAGAATTTACAGATGAAAACATTAATCATCAGGGGCCGAGCCTCATGGCTTGCCTGAATTGCCTTACCCAGCGGCCTGGATGCGGACCGACGATGCCCTTGCGGGTTCCCATGGGCCTGTGGCAAATTCGAAGGGCAATGGGTGAGATTCTGTAACTTTCTCTTCGCGCGAGGGATAGAAATGACATGCAGGGAGGGGAACGCCGGCGATATCATCATCTACAAAACGCTTCCGAACACGGCATCCATTCTCGTGGGACTGGCCTTGGCGGCTGCAAACGGATTTCCACCCTTAAATCCACCCCTAAACGGTTCAACTTTAGACCGACCGGGCGCTTTAAGCCCGAGATTTTACCGTGGCAGTCAGTTGCACGCAGTGCAGCGTAGGCACCACTTGAGCCAGACGCATAAGGTTGGACATAAAAGGCGGGGTTTCATGGCTTCACACACAGGGATTCTGATATCATAGTTATTCGTCGTCGCAAAAAATAAAGTTGGTTGAAATCTCAGTCAATTGCGCAGTAGGATTTAAAGGTAGGCATTCGTCATCGCAGCAAGCTAAAGGTGGTTGAAATCTCAGTAAATCGCGCAGCGGCTTTGAATGAAACCGAGACTGTCAAGTTGAGAACCTCGAGAACCTTGTCTGCCCGATCCTTCAGTGAGATCGCGACGGGTTGTGCAGCGCCACGAAATGACGGCGGCCGGGATCACCAGTGCGTCGAGATTGGTGATTCATTGGATGAGAGAGAACGGTTCTCAAACAAAGACTTGGAAGCTTCCATTTTTAGACCAGTCGGATGAGCCGTTGGGCGCCGCCCGCTCGGGGTATAAAGCAGCGTCAAGAAGAAGTTCCCCAAATGAGTTCGATGCTGGAGCCAATAGGAGACGCGCAATTTCGCGCCGGCCGCGTGCACCGCACAATTAGTGGTTACATCAACCGCCGCACAAGACTCAATTCACCCATGGGCATGAAGGTACATGGGGTAAAAGTACCATCTGCTTTTCACCTCACCGTTCTTCATCCTCTCGTCAGATCCATCACCCAAGCAGTCCAGACAAATCAGAGCAGCATCGTATACGACCCCGAACAACAAGAAACACGACTACAGCCTCGCTGCCTCAGCTGTAATAGACGTCATGTGGATTTTAATTCACGTTGGCCGCAAGCCCAAGATGTCTTCCACCGCACCGGAAGCCTACTACTTCGCCATGATAGCGGCATACCCATACCTATCACAGATATTGACCGACATCACACGGAAATCCTTTCCCTCTTCCTTTATCAATGGAGGACCGGCTCCGGACTGGAAATTTCCGACGAGCTATGAGCTCTGGGACATACTTTACCACTGCTCCCAGTCAATGCTCGAAGAAGTGACAAACAGAGTCCGGTCAGGTACGTTATCTTTGTAACCGCCCTGCCGCAGGTCGGCATGCCTCGATAGATGTCGTTCTGAGTTTCTGACGGGCTTCGCGCTCTCTCCCACAGTCTCCAGTGCGTACAACGCCGAGCGGGAAAACACAGCCCCAGAGATATCGCAACAGGTCCATGAGGCCCAGAATGCCCACAGCACATCCAAGGACTTCCCGTCCGCGGAGATCTCGTATGTTGCCCCCAAATCAGTCGTCAACTCGTCCTCTCTACCTCCTCCCTCGACGCCCCAGAGGGTGTCCACGAGCCGACTAGTCCCAGCCCAGCCGACGGGGTCCACGAGGCGACCGCTGACACGAGACATTCAACGGAGCCGCCCAAATGACAATTTGCGGGGACTCACCGCCAGCAGCACCAGCCGCGTGGGGAAGAAGTCACGGCCAACAGGGAGAGAAAGAGCAAAAGCAACAAACCAGCGCATCTCAGGCGTGCAGAGAATGTTGAGTGAGACGGTCGAGGAGTCGTCTGCCACTGCGGCAAGCCCCGCTTCCACTGTCCTGGATGACACGTTCTGTTACAACACCCCATCCTCCTCGCCTAGCTGCCCCACAGAAGGCGAGACTACCCCTGCCAGCAGTGCCAGCACGCTTGCTTCCAGCATGTCCTCCGACCAGTTGGACGATTCTATAGCCTCGAAAGACACAACCCCTCCAGGCAGTGCCAGCACGCTTGCATCCAGCATGTCCTCTGACCAGTTCAAACAGTCTATAGCCTCGACGCAAAAGTCCTTTACGCTACTGACGCTGTCCCCGACCCGAAAGACGTCGACGACGACAATGACCAAAACGAATACGCCAACGAGTAGGAGGAAGCAGCAGCAATCAACAGTGTTTAAGGGGGGCTCCATCGGGGGCCGTGTGAAAAAGAGGGTGCTGCCAGAGAAAGTGAGAGCACAACAAGCACACCACAGCATGCCACTCGTCAGACAGCCAAAAATCGAGACATCAGAAAAGGATAGCAGTCCGAGCGTCTCCCCTTCGATCGACACACTTCCTCCCAGCGGCGCCAGCGGCACGCTCCTCCCCATCGAGGAACTCAACCACAACCTTTCTCCACCACTGTCGCCAGTGGGGCCGCCCTCGTTCGATGCTACGTTCGAACCGCCGTTCCGCACACCCACGGATGCTGCCCCCGAAAACCCAGAGCGGGCAAGCACGGGAAGGAGGAGCATCGGCAGCGTGGGCCGCATAACTAAAAACGCAATCAGACATGTGCGTGGAGATCCATCGAAGCGGAACATCAATGAGACGGCAGGACTGTCCAGAAAGCTGCTGGAGCAGGAGCGGCGGCGACACGGCTTCGGAGCGCTGGACAGGGAGCCGTCGGCGGGCGCAGGACGGGATAGTGGTACGCGGCCAGGTCGGCACAGCCTGCTGACCCGTCGAAATATCAAGGCAGAAGTGCGAAAGACGGCAGAATCGAAACCGCCGTGGCTATCAGATTACCCATTGCGTCGCATCGCCACGATCCGCTGAGACGATGCTACCGCCCGAACGTGGATAAATGTATTATATCTATCTAAATATCCTGTACAATATCGGTCAGCCTATCGATTAGACGCATTATAAAAAGCTCTCGGGGGGAGGGCGTTTGAAATCCTATCACCATTCCCGTACTCCACGCTAATCCAGATATCGAGAAAGAGAAAGGGGTAGCTATAGAATGCTCCTACACCCAGGTCCAACGTGGAAGGGTCCGGCGGGCCCTTCTTCATTGTCGGTAGGTGCGGGTGCACGGTCACGTGCGGGAGCAGGAACTTGGTGCCGATCACGACGAAGACGGCGAGGTTGTGCTTGTCGCTGTAGCGAAAAGAAGGGGGGGGGGGGGGGGGCGGGGGGCACACAGTTAGCCATATTCCTTGTAGGTTTCCGATCACATGTCTACCTCTCGCTCATAGGAGGAAGTGAAAGAAGGGGGGGGAGAGATGAGAAAGAAACACTAGACTTACGTGTTTTCCTTGTGGATCCAAAGCCCAAAGGCCTCACGAAAGTACGCTAGCTCGGCCTGCTTCTTCGCCTCGGCCACGGCTTGCCGCCACCCCTTTGCCGTATTCTTGCTCGCCGGCCAGAACAGAGCCATGAAGTAGACGGAAGAGCGCGCCACCTGGCCCCGCAGACGGCGCGAGGCCATCTGGAGGTAGGTACCGAGTCGCTACCGCGGGAGCACGGCACAGCCCGCACTGTTGAAGCCCCCGACTTATCTGGATGGGGAACTTTCGCAGCCCCGAATGCACAAGGGGACGAGGAAGACAGTCGCGCACAGCACGGCGAGGCTGCACGGGTGTGAGATGATACGTTGCCCGAGCGGCGATTTGAGCACCTGTTCGAACAAGGACCAGTTGATTCCTTTGTCCTCGAACGGCTGCCGCCAGAGGGGGTCGTCATCGTGGTAGCGACGATCCAAATGCTTTGTTTTGAAATGGCTCAAGTCTCGATGGGGCGGGTGTCCAATTCCTCGGCTTCTGCTGGATTCGCGAGCTTCTTCACGCGCTGTGGCTTGGGCCAGGACTTCCACAGCACCGAGGTGGACAGCATGCTCGGCGTGCAGGAGCTGCGACTCGCTAACACAAGCAAAATGCAGCGTACCTCACTGCTCTTTCTAGGCTCCAGCTGAGGATATAAGGAGTAGACCTATATCTCGTCTGAACCCGTAAACTGCATGAGGTCCGGCTCTCCCGTGCCCTGGTCGACGATGCTGAGGGGCCGGTCGAGAGCAAGCATCGCAAGCGTCCTGTGGAAAGTCATGTTTGCGGACTAAGACACCGGATGTGGTTCTTGGTTCTAGGAGTGCAAAGCGAACTAGTGACGGTTTAGTTCACTCATTCTAATGGAAGCTAGGACACCTCGGGGCAGAAGGGGGGTGTTAGAAACGGCCTTCATATAACCTAGAGCGCGGGGCGCCCAGAGGTAGGTCTACCGGGATAGCAGCGTAACTACGCGAGGCTAGGTTACGTACCGTACGTAATTACCTAAAAAGGAAGTATTCGATATATTAATATATTAGTATACTACTATATCGATATATTAATATACTATTCCTAGTTACCTATTCGAGTTATACCTTATAAGTATATAGCTACGCTTATTACCCTTTTATAGTTATACTCTCTCGTAGCTAACTTATAATATCTACTTTACTATACTATTCTAAAGTTACTCGACTACTTATACCTTACGTACTCTCGACCTAGCTTATGTAATAAAGGAACTGTAACTAAGGAAGCCTAACCCCATTAGGCTATATAGGAAGCAGCTCTGATAGGGGGGCTTACTTTGACGGGTTAGTTATCTTCCTCATCTGGGAAGACGCTGAAACGGAAAACCGCGCGAGGGCTTTGAAGCCATGCAGCCTCTTGGGGGCGACCCACTCGCCGTCGTCGGCTCCATCATCGTTGATCACTTCCTCAGGGTCTTGGAGCAGCGGGTCTTCTGGAGGTACGAGACTTGGCCGTCTGCGGGTTGGGTCCACATGGCATAGCGCTTCGAGTGCACCACTGCTTTGGGCGTCACGTCGACGTACACAGGATGTTGGAGGGAGAACACGAGCACCTGGAAAATGTGTTTGCCCTCGGCGCGGCCCTTTGCCACGGCGGCGCAGATGGCGGACGCGAAGCTCGATCGGGACAGCAAGTCGCTTGTGAGCCACACGAGGAATGACCCCATCCAGGACCAAGAGCTGGACGGAGCGCTTCCACGGGACCTTTCGTCGTCGTGGAAGTCGACGAGGAAGGCCGACATGAGCTCGGTGGACTGGTCAGCACGCCTTGCTCCGAGGATGCCGTACGTGAAGCTGGCGGCCTTGCTCATGCACTCTCCCACTATGTCTGACCACCCAGTTTCCTCGGCGTTGGCGAGCTTGACGTAGTCGCGGGAACAGGAGGCCATGCACATCAGGGCCCAGCACACCTGTCGGAATAAGTTTTGCATTGGGTCGGACCAATCGCGCGCCTGGGTGAAGGCGCTGGCGTACACCTGGCCCATCAAAGCGTATGCGTGGGCCATGTACGCCACCAGTCCCTCCACGGCATTCGTCAGATTGGGTCCAAGTTGCACCGCCATGAAACTAGCATTCAGCCCGCTTTACTGACTTTCGATCGCTTCCTCACCGTCAGTGGGCGGCTGCGCTGGCAGTGCATTGGATATGATGCAGGGATCTGTGGGTGCGGTATCGAGCTTCAGCGAGTACCGGTTGGCAGGGTCGAGCAACGAGTCAAGGTCCTGAGATAGCTGGTCCAGAGGAAGCAGCAGACCCCATCATAGTCGAGATTCTTCCGGTCGAGATCGTTGACGACGGTGAGCCTCAGGTTCTGGTCGCGGTAGGGTCTGAAATAGCACGGCGCGAAGTGTAGGTCCTCAGCCCCGACGGCCTCGTGCAGAATTTTTCGCGATACAGATATCCCCACAGGCATTCGCACGTAACGAAACGCGTCACGAGCGATGTACACAGTATCTATGGAGTGTCTGGGTCGAAATGGAGCAGCGGAGCCACTGTGGGATCTGGAATGTGGAGGACAAGAGCAGTGCTGTTTACTCTAGCTAACGACCTCCAGAGTAGAGAGAAACAAACAGACAATAAAAAGCGCCTTCGGACGGCGTTGGGAATCGATTGGACAGGAGGTAAAGGTGTTGGACGCGTATCCCTTTCACATTCCATCCTTGGTGCTGTCAGCAGCCCCAGCCTCCGCCTTTCGTTTCTGGTGGTCTGGAGGCTCGAAACCCCGAAAGCAGGCCAGCCCTGCCGTGCCAAAGTTTCGCAAAGCGCGGCCAAATAAGTGCAATCACTGCAGGACACTAAGGTGCTCTGTCCCTCGAATGAGCACCGAAGTGAAACCAAGTGCTACGAGTGCCAGCACATGACACCCTCACCGTTCTTTTGACCATTCTTGAGATAGGAGGACCAGATTGGCCTGCGGGGAATGGAAGCTCACGACCAGGGCTGATCCCTGCGGCTGCGGGACGATGGCGAAGATGTGAACGGGCACCCCAGACCAGTGTAAGTTGAATAACTTGATTGATTGGGCAAGGAAATCTAGCGCACCTACGGATTTGTCATGTGCCGCGGTGGAAATTATTCGGCTGACCTTCCTGACTAGGGCTAGGACAACGTCCAGTGTCGTTGATGCGGGGCTCCGTATTATGGCCCACCAGCCCTGTAGGATGCGGGGTAGTGGCATAGTGTGGGGAGATGACGCACTAAGCCGAAAGGGGAAAACCTGTCCCACTTTGCAGCCGCAGTCAGTATACCCATGACCCAATCAGGTGGGCAAAACTCGGCCATTGTCCATTCATCTCGACCGCCCCCATCCTGCTCAACCACCCTTAGCCTCTCCGGGCATCCCGACCAACCCCGACCCAGCCTAATCCGGCAATCCTTCACCGCTTCGTTTCAAACTGCCAGCTGGACATGACATATGCATTGCGCGTCGCATGGCGAGAAGAAGCACGCGAGATGGGAGTGCTCCTCGCGAGTCAACCACTGTCCTGAATGACGGGAGAGGCATTTCTTACCCCTCCTGCACGGTATGCATGCCAAGACGGCTTACTGGCTCACAACTCACCCAATCAGAGACGCGACGGCTTCGCCCGGGCGTAGTCCCTGAACGTAACGCGATCGATAAGACCATTGACCGAGGACATCCCTTGGCTGGTGGACATGGCAGGCAGGGTTCCATCGTTGATCCTATCGGGAAAAGCTACTTTTAAGGGTTGAGGCCCATCCTTGCCGATCCAGGCAGCCAACAGGATTTTCTGGAAATGATGCGGACCATCTTCCAAATTGAAACAGACGCCGGTACATCGCGTATGCACTGGCCAGCCACCCTGCCGCTGTTCATGGTCGGGAAAGCACCATGTCGCAATGCTCAAAGGAAAATCACACGAGGGAATGTAACAAGGTGGTCTCGGAGCTCGTAGATCCAAGTCAACCTACCTCAGCTCCCGCCTCCCCCCTCCCAAAGACAATGACGCAGCAGACGACCAAACGGGCAATGCCGCAGAACACACCCTGCAGAATGCGCAGATAACCCTTTGACAGAGACTAACACAGTGCGACGGAGGAGTCATGACAGGGGGGTTGGAGTAGGAAAGAAGGCCTCCAGTCACTGGTTTAAAGACTCCAGCCCATTACCTTCACCTCGCGAAGGCGGTCATTGTTCCCATTGCGCATCGCGTCTCTCTCAGCACAAGTGTGTCTTCTATTCAAACGCCGCCGCCTGCGGAAATGAATCCGGAGTCTAGATTGCAAGATTCGTGTAAGGCCGAGCTCAAGAATACCTTTTGACATCAGAGCTGATTTTTCCAATAGTCTCAGCATATCCTCCACACGAACCCTTCTCAAAGTCCACCCAAATGAGTTCTCCCGAGCCTGACAACCGTGTTGGACGAGCAGAGTCAGATGCGATCAAAGTGGGAATGGCGCTGCATACGCCGCCTGGAGCGCCCTGTAGGAAATGCAGAATCTCTAACTTGGAGTGCACGCCCACAGAGCAAGGCAAGAGAGGGATGGCTGCGAGGCAAGAAAGAAAATAAGCAGAAGCTGCTTTATTAGGAGCCCAGGCCGGCGAACAGTTGGAACCCGACCCAGATGAGTCGGTCGCAAGCGGACGGTGGGGAGGGCCAGATGCCCAAAACGAAGAAACGAAAGCGCAGCGAAAGCGACCCTCAGACTTGTCCTGCATTGCACGACCTGCCCACAGAACCGGCATCGTGCCGTTGGCTCGCTTTGTCTAGTAACCTCTCGTGCAGCCCGGAAATGTGCAACTGCTCATTGCTGCTGCGACTACATCAAGAGATGTTTCACCTACCTGAGAAGTACGGCTGCCGCACTCGGTAGTGGACCGATCGAGGGCGCCGACGCCAACGCCAACGCGTACCGTCTGAGGCGGTACGACTGGACGATCTTACAGCCCACAATACCGCCGAGGCTGACGATGGAGGCGAAGGGCGGCCGCGTTCACGATGCAACCGTCAAACTGGCTTCCCCGCCCGATGTTCCTGAGAAGGGCTTCATCGACCCCAAGATCTGAGCCGTGCAAGGGGGCACCTGGTATAAAAAGCGACAGCCTAGCAGACGAGAAGCGCGAGCCCGACCAAGGTGTTGTCTGGGGACTGCAATGGTTTTCCTGAGCCGTTCGATCAGGCTTGATAATATGACAGCTTGAAATTTTGGTTATAAGATTGATCACTGGCGCTGGTCGCTTTCTGTCCTTGTATCTTTCATCGATTTCTTTTTCTTTAGCAATCTCCGTTATCTTCTCCACTTGTCCTTCCCTAACGTCTATTTCTTGAAAAATCCTCGTCTTGTTCTCCCCCTGTCTTACCTCATTTCCTTTTTCTTCAGAAATCTCAGTCTTCGGAGGAATGGGTTACAAAAGGGGGACACGATGGAGAGTGTTGCTGTTGGATCTCTCTCTTTTCTATTTTTCTTCATCCTGACCGTTACAATTGTTCTGGCGCTTGGAAACAGTGCTTTCGAATCAATCCCCTCGTCGTCTCATACAACATGCACTTTGGCGACGTCACTCGTGATCAACGTCCTTGTCCCCACTTTGCAGACAAGTCTCTCTATTCTAAAAATGTCTCTGTTTTCTTTAATTGATTCTGTGTGTTTTATCTGTGCTCTTCTTCTTTGGGATGACTGCAGCACGCACGCGTCCGACACAGGTGTATGAGTAGCCCTGGACTCGTAGGGATCCACCGGAATTCGCAATATTACTGTACTGCTTCCCTGCCTGTATCTGTATGACGGGTAGGACCCCCTTACAGCGACGCCTGCAAAGAAAAAGACTGTAGGCCAACGCGCGGACCCCATCAGACTTAATGCGGGGACCAGCCATATCACGGAGAGGGTGCCTTCTCACCAGAGCAGCCATGTTAAAGGCGGCGAGGACTGGACCATGATCAGCGATCTCGCCAAGCGCAGAAGATTACACGGGAACTGAACAATTATGCAGGGAAAAACAAAAAGGAGAGAGAGGAAGAACTGAAATGACTAGCAGCAGGCTGCGGCGATAGTACAAGCGAAGAATATTCCGAGCCCCGGGACAACCATGACGGATCTTTCGGCGATTACCAACCGCGAAGACAGATCTCGCGAGTCTATGGACACACATCATAGATCTTTGGAGCTTCGCAGCTACCCCGCCAAGTATCCCGAGCAGAGCAGCAACTCCAATGATGAGGAGGAACCGCAGCTTTTCCAGCATGAGGTGGATGTGCAGCATTTTCCTTACACTCGGGATCTTCCTCCTCTGAATTCCACAGCCGTGCAGAACGTCCGTTTGAGTTCAACTCTCCTCACAATGGTTTCTCTATGACCTCTGGATCTCAGGCGAACGATGTTCACGGCAGGAGCTCTGGTTACGATGACTACCCACCCCCTGAACCGTACTGGTTACAAAGAGGTGCAGAGGAGCTCCAGCTATCGCGGCCAGTAGCGGGATGAAGGAGCAGCAAACGAGAGCCATCAGTCTTGTACTCCACCTTATTAAGGGGTTCCGAGGACTTTCTCCAGACTCTGAGAGTGCCTGGTGAGCGACAGACTGCAGAAGAGACACCATCGTGAGCTCCGTCTTGTGAAGTAGGAAGCGGGCAGGCCAGCTCGAGTAAGCTGATTACGTAGAGACGCAACAGAGTGTAGCAGCGTGGGTAGTTTACTTTCTGTCATCACGTTCGCGGTATGGGTTTTCGTGTCTTTCGGACCACAAGACATTCAATACAACTGTGTATTGAACACGGCCTAGGAAGAGAGCAGTTTTGTATAGTTTTTTTCTCTGCCTTTCCTTTTCGTTTGGAACATGCTCAACTCATCGTGACTGCCCGTGTCTGTCGCATGTGTAGTCATACCGATATGCAAGACTCGGGTCGGAGTCCAGCTTACGTAGGGATGGGCGGGACCTCGGCGCGTGACTGACGGGTCGCGTTCGAACTACGCCCGCGCCCCGTCTCTCACGCCCGGGGAAGTGGTTCACGATCGTGGCTGCACGTCGGCCGGGCCGCTCCGTCCCTGACCGGATCTACGCTAGGCAGCGACTCGGTAAGGCGTGTGCCCTGTAGTGTGGAATGGCCAAAACGCCTGACCAGTACGTCTATCACGGCGCAATCTACAACAGAAACGTGATCGCTGTTGAGGGTGCAATAATGATATGAATTCTGAGACGAAGGAGTCTAACTAGTAGTTGCGGTGATGGCACGAAAGATAAGGTTTGTGCGCGCTTAGCCTCGTGCGGGGATGCCAGCCTTGTGCGGGGTCGCCCATTGCCTGAGGCGCGCAAGGCCGTGACAGCGTCGACGAATATTAATTGGTTCCCGAAACGTGAAGAGGCTGCAGGTTTTGCAACGTAGTATTCTTCCAGTCATAGATCTAATTATACGTCCCGGGCCCTTGGCTATCTACGTCGGAAACTGTTACGCAGGTGAACTCCAATTAACTAAATCGCGTGCGGATATGTCACTGTCTTTTTTTCACTCTTGTTACGTAGTCTACAGGGCCGCAGCAGGGCAGAGAGCTGCCTGGGGATGCGTAGCCCTCTGATAGGTACAGAGTATGGTGCGCCAAGGCGAGTTTTGTTCGAAAAGAGGTACACGTGACACTCAGTCTCACGTGATGGGAGATTCATGAGGGGAAATGCGGCACTGACATCTGATTGGCTGGTAGGAGGGTAGTGAGTTCTCAACGTCGAGGGTGACTATCGCCAGCCTCCCAGGGAACGTGAGACGCACCAAATGCTCGCAGACGATGCACTCTCTCGAGCCTGTCTCTTCTGCTTCCACCGTACCGGAAGTTGTCTCGTGACTTCGTACCGCTTTCTCCCGGAATTACTTTTCCGGCCGCCGTCTGCCTGCGGGCGGAAGCAGCACTGGATTTGCCTGGGTCTTGCTTATAGTAGGGTTATCATCCAGGCAAGGCGTTAAAGCCAGAGAAAGGCGGTGGCGCTTACCGCTGAGATGACCCGTGACGCTTATTGGTGCCAAGGACCACCTCCTGCGATACCCAATTTGTGGTGCAGTCGTTGACGGGCAAACATGGATTGAGAACTAAAAGAGAGCCGAAAGAGATGCTAGATTCGGTTCACAAGCGTGTGGAAAGGCCGTGCCGCTGAACGGGTGAGCGGAGTTGGCGTCCATGGACGTGTCCAAGGCGAACGTGGGGGAGAGCCATCGGGTCAAGACGTTTACCCGCATTTTGTGCATGCTGCCCTTGAATGTGGACGAGGACGGGGAGCAGGCGCGAGACACCATCTTGGGTATCCTGAGAGGGTGAGGAGCAATTCGAAGGTGTTGTTTCGCTTGACGTGGTCGCCTGGCTTGTAATCTCGACATCTTCTCGGTCATCTTCCTCTCGGATACCTTCGTCCTTCAAGCCGCCATCCAGCGCGCAATTTCGAGGTTGTCCTCTAGCTCGTCCTTTGCCAGAGGATGCCCTTCTTTCGGCAATAGCCATCTTTTGAAGCTCTTTTAAAGACATTGCATCAGTTTTACAATTTCCGTCAAGGTGAATTTTTGCTGAACATCGCGAATCTAGGGCTCCAGAAAGTCGTATTGGCCGCCTTGTCGAACGAGAAGCTCCTGATATCGAACACTGGAAGTTTTTGAATAGGAGCGACGGGCGCTTGCCGTTGTCGATGCTGGGGTGGGCTCTACATATGTGAGTCCTGTCAGAAGTGTCAAATCATGACGATGGCAAGCGCCCTCAAGATGACGATCGACAATCATTCTGAATCTTTTCCAGCTCCAAGACACGCCAAAAGATACACCGAAGAGTAATGAAGTACGCTGTAGGGTGGCCAAAAGGGCGCGAGACCAATAAAGTCAACCCGAATACCGTTACGGGGCAAGGGAGCCAGGCGGAGTGACGAGGTGCACTGAACCACGGCCCGGGCCCAGCGTCTTCGAGGTGTGCGACTCAGTCGTTAGTAACGGCCGATTTGACATCAGAGTGTGACCAGGACGCGCCTGACATCAATTGCCGGCTCTGAGTTCTCTCCCGAGATGATGATCTACCATTCGCTATGAAACTACTACGAGGTGCACGCACGCAGTTGCGAGCATTGAGGGCGTTTTCAACTCCCATTAGCATGAGCGGCCGTGAGCTACTGGTAGTTTTGGTCCACCAGTGACCAGTTGGGCCACCAGCAGTGCCTCGGGAGAATCATTACACGTGCGACGGTCGGGTCCGCCCAGCCCGAGTCCTACGGTCCTATCCATGGGCCCTCCTCCCTCACTAGTCCTTGCCGAAGTACAATGGTCAGTCAAATTCGAAGGGACAACGAGGTAGTATCAGTTGTTTCCTGTGTTTGAACCAAGATATTGAGTGGAGAACATACATCGTGGAACTGACAAGGTGGTAGACAGAATAGATGACAGCAAAGTGACTGCTCCCCGCGACCGTCAGTCTCACAAGATCCACAGCTCTACCACCAACAAGGTGCTCGAGCGGCAAGTTCGGCAGCGATCGAAGGCCTCAAAAGAGGATCGAAGCGATGGGGGTGCGCTTCCTGTCCGTGTCGCGTGAGGAGGTTCCGCGTGGGGCCAACCGAGGAAGAGTAAGCTAGCGGGAAAGGCGACCCGACATCTGAAGCGCTCAGAGAGCTCGAATACGTCAGCGCGGGAGACGTAGCCTGATCTGCTTGAGAAGAGGACTTTTTGGTTGTGGAATGGCAGGGAGCACAACCACGCAGAATCACACCGGGCGACTCGTTGTAGCGGATACACTTCCAGTCTGACTCTTGGCCGTCTCCTTGGTCCAGTTTGACGTACAGGCTGGCGCGCACTAGGAACTTCTCCTGTGCGCCCCGTTGCGTGCCGTTGTTCGCGGTACATCGCTCGAATCGCAGGCGTTCGAACCCGTACTGTTTTTTCGTGGACCCTGGCTGGGGTTGAGATTTGAGGCGCTTGACCTCGACGATGGGACCCTTTTGTCGCTTGGAGGTATACTCGTTCAGCACGATCGGCCTGTTGTCCCTGTCGGATGTGGCAGACACGCCTACGCCAAACACGAGGACTCTGTGAAGAGCCCCTGTTTCCGGGCATGTCCAGAGCACAAATTCGTCACCTCCGTAGGACGGGAAGACAACCGAGCAATCGACGCTCATGAAGTTTTTGCGGTAGGCGAAGTAGCATTTCTCCGCTTCGTCGTACCTGAAGTTTTTAGTTACGGTCGCCTTGAAGGTGAAGTTGATGAGGCTCCATTGGCCGTTTATGTACGACGACAAGCAATGTGGAGACTCCTTGGGTACCAGCGCCACCTGTACACCTTTGGTTCTGTTCCGGTCTTGCTCTGTGGCAGATTCTGGGAGCGTGGGGTTGTTCGGGACAGGTCCCATGACTGAAGCGCGCATCAACGATATTCCGTCCTGGGATGGGTCGCAACCCTCCCAGGTGAGGCCGGATGGCTCTCTCGGGACCTCGAGCTGCGAGTGTCCCAATGTGGTTAGCGCAGGGGTCAGCAAAGCCAAGGATGTGAACCAACCCCGTATTGATCGTCAAAAGTCCTGCCGTTGTGAGCGATTGCCGGGCTACTCAGCTCTTGTAGCAGCGTGCCCGGTTCCTTCAGGATCACGAATCCTCCTTGGAGAGCCGAGTCTGGCACGCACTGGTACGCAGTAACATGACCTCCAGTGCCAGAGGAAGCCGGCGGCATGTTGTTGTAGATGGCATGAACACCTTCACGGGCATCAGGATCCGCGTAGCCCATGTACCGTCGATCATAGGCGCCCGGAGCCAGTCTCTGCCCCTGGCCATGCAATCCTCGTGGTTGGCATGGGCCGTTCAGGGACAAGGAGCTTGTATGGGCGGGAAGGGCGGGTGCTGCAAGTACCGCCATTGTGCTCGGTTGCCTTTCTGCCATGAAGGACGAGGCAAGATCGAACATTGGAGTTGCTGCTTAGTTCTTGATGTTGGACCGATGAGAAAAGAACTTGTTGTGCGAGCCAAAAGATTTCTCGTGTATCGTACGGGGTTGTTCTTCTACCAATTTATGTTCTTTCGCGCGCGAGCCTAGCCCTCATAGAAAGGTCCTCTCCCCGCGGGATTGCGGAAGAGAATAGGCCGCTAAGCGTTGGAGTCGAACGGGTCGCAACGCCTCTGCGCCATATGAGTCACGACAGCCTAGGCGAGAAAGTGGAGAGCAGCGACGTGGTCGCAGGTAAGAGGACGTCTGGATATGCGAGGGTGCGACGGGTGCTGGCCAGCGCACCAAGCTCCGAGGTCTGGACCGACTCAGGGGAAAAGGCCTCTCGGCAGCTCAGAATGATTGGGGAAAAGTATAGCTTGCCCGCAGAGATCGACCGATGAAGCGACACCATTACGCCGGCTTGTATAATTGAATGCGCGATGCTCGGGGTAAGATTATGCCTAGCGCCCCGAAAAGACGCAGGGTTCTAGACCGACCTATTGCACGACGAGAATTGCAAGAAGGTGGTGTAGATATTCTGCACGAGGGTGGCGTGAGTAGGGCGCGCGCACGGCCCAAGAGGGGCAGCAACGGAGGTCCGACGAGAGGTGAGATCGGGTAAATGCTTGGCGGTCACGGTGGGAACGGAACCTAGGCTTAGACTAGCGAACCCTATCAGATCGCTACGTGGTTCCACTCGAAGAAGGAGACGAGGTTTACGGAAGTCAGGGGAACCTACCAGAGATGGAGGTGGCACACCCTCAGCCAGGTGGGCTCGAATAGCACGCCGTACGCTTTCTCAGGGGGCTCGAGGTCGGCGCCGTCCGAGATGCCGTCCGAGCCGTTCCAGCGAATCCTTGCCGCTTCCCAGGCACGCTCTCGCCTGGCGTTACGGCCATAGAAAGCTTCTTCCCTCGGGTCGTCAGCGCCTGGTTTGGCATCGGCATCACGGTCCCAGAACCACGAGTCATCCTCGCGTCTCCTCCCCCCCTCTCCCCGTCGGCCAGCACCGCGACGATCAGCAGTTCCAGCCCGTAATTCTTGTGTATCAAGGCCCCGAGTATAGCTAGGTGTCGCGAGACAACACATGAATAGGTCTAGTACTGACGGCGTTAGAGATATCCTTAATCAGCTGTGCAGGGGACAACAAGTCGATTTTGATGTCCTTCAAGGCTTCAAGCCCTTTGTCCATGATGACTCTTGTGGCTTCGATCACGTACATGCCGCAGTCGTACCCATTCAGCTGCTTCACGCTCTCAGCATAAATAACCCTGAAATTTCTCTTCCGCCTGTAAACCTTCGATCAGACTCATAACCTCCTTAATGTGCCGGTCCGCGGTATTTTTTTCGACCGTGGAATCAACGAAGTAGACGATTCGGGCACACATGCCAATATAGATCAACCGCCAATGTTTATCCGTACAAACAGGTATGAAGATGTTGATCTTTCATTCACAGGGCTGTGATCGGGGTACTCGTCCTTTATATTCTACCCAGTATTTCCAGTGATCAGCAGCAACGACCCACAATCTATCGTCCGGAATGTCCTTTCGATATGCCGCAATTCCTGCATGAATCACGTCCATTTTCATCCAAACCATCCTCCCCAGGCTCCGGCCCAATCTTCAAGCATTGGAGGTCGAAAAGATCGAACACAACACCCCCATTATTCGGCTTCCACCTCGCAGCATCACAATGCTTCCGCCATGAACGAAATGAAAGTCCTGGAGAGCTTCACGAACCTTACCCATGGTGGAACATACTTTGGTCTGTTCTGCACGTTCAAGGCTGCGTAAACGCTCCAAGGCAGTAAAACACCGAAGGTTCTGCATGCTTGAGACGTCAACGGGCAGGCTCTGGATCAATTCCCATGTGGCATTAGCAACCGCAAGCGGACCATAGGAAACGACCTCTGCAGCCTCCCTTAGAGTCAGAGTCGCTTCTCTCTCGGTTATTGCCTACATGTTCGCACCAACTGAGAATGGTGCTCCAGACGAAAGGATATATAGGCTGCGGATTCACGATCGGGATAGTCCTGATTATATGTTCTCCCGCCATCTTTCTCTCGTTTCCGCGGCCCAGTCATCAGACTTGGTAGGTCGTAACAAAGGTCTCGTGAGGTTCACGAGTCTTAGGATTCTTGGGTTAAGTTGACTTAGAATCCCTTGCACCGTCACGTGATTGTAAGGATTCTTCCGCAACCACTTTCTCTTCCTGGAATTCCAGAGTTATCGGGGCTTGAGGACTTAGGTCTAGTGTCTTAAACTCTAGGCTTCTTACATTCAATCACCTTCTGTTCAGCCCAGCTAATTTTTATAACTAGCCGATTAGGTCAACCTTCACTCGCTATCAGGTTATATACTTTAGGAGGCTCCGCACTATTTAGCCACTAGATCTTCTGACGTTATATAAGACGATGGGTACTAGTAGCCATAGTAATGAAAGGATTAATTAGTAAACTGATCTTGTCAGCCCGTGGACGAGGGATCTTAATAACTACGTTTAACATCTTGAAGTAATGGTGCAGGATGGGTATGATATGTTCCGGCTGTCTTTAATAGTCGTATCATCATCGAAAGACTAATTCTATGTAGTATCTCGAGAGGGTATACGTCTAAGAGGGTCGTAGACATTCGTGTATTCTATAGAGAATCCATGGCATCGAGGTTGTCTTTCCTAAGTACGGAATTACAAAGCCTTCCTAATATTCCAGGGTAGTCTAAGGACTAAAAGACCGACTATAATTATTATAGGTAGGGAAGATTTAGACGTTCTAAGTTCGAACCTTCTTTAGCCCTTTTAAGAACTTCTTTCTGACTTCTTAATAGTAGTATAAGAGCCCCTAGTAAGGGGGACTAGATCGATAGAGAGATAATACCTAGAATAGATAGCTATAGGCCCTATATATAGAGACTTAAAGCCTTAAGGGCTTTAAGTAAAGGAGCGGCCTACTAACCGCTACTTATCCGAGGCGTAGACGCTTAGCCTACGCTTAGCCTATTTACTTATTTTACTTAGCCTATCTACCTAGGTTAGGTGCGAGTCCTAATAAGTAGTTCCGCCTCTTTTACCTCACCTCCAATATGCGGGAACTCCGCGTAGTCGAACTGATTGACCTTTTCTTGTATTGCATGCCTTACGTTGCGAATCCTTAAGACAATCTTCAATCTTAAGGGTAAACCTTTCTTGTACAGTAGTTAGAGTCCGTATCATCACCAGGGCCGTGTAAAACTGAGCTGCTGCTTCATCTAAACCTATCATCTGCATAGGGAACTAAGTAGGGCCTCGGTAAATGTTTGAATTGAACGGATGCCGCATTTAAAGAGTAGGCGCAGTAGAAGGGCCGAGTATAATGGATTAAAAGGAAGGGCTGATAGCATCGTTCATGGTGACTCCCGGGCGCTGTACTGTATTCGTAAACTAAAGAGGGCTAACGGTAGGATTCTTTCGTCTGATGATCGTCTCTTACCCTTCGACAGGTGTAAACGGATCGACCGGTATAACTACGCTCACTTGGCGCTGTGGTGTAGAGACCGTGGGCGTAATCTGACGGGAATTGAACAGTTCTAGGTTTACTTCATATAATGGAGAAGAATCCCTCGAGCCCACTGGGAACTTCCCAATACTTGTCAACAACATGACTCATTCTCTTCCTTCGAAACCATCCGTCTTTGACATAATCTGTACCATTCACGCTTACTCCAAGTCATTCCTTTCCAGTTTCTTCATCTTTGAGCACAGCAAGCGGCTCCTCCCCTCTCTACTTGTGAGAATCGTAACCTCTAGCCTTTCTGCAGTTAATATGTTACTTGCCCCACTGTAGCTCTTCGGTCCGATCATGCATGCAAACCCCGCCGCTCAGCCACGTTTGGTTATATTCCGGCTGTACAGTCACATGACTACAAACCTTGGCAACACGGCACCTCAATCCCTCGACACTTTTCCACCTTTTTTTCTCTTACACCTCTCCAGCCAGCATGACTAAAAACACGCAAGGAACGTTCAGAAACAGATCCAATATACGAGAACGTTGAGTTCCGTCACCCTTGCGCAGACACCTCTGTGACAGCGTAGATGTTGTATCCGCTCATAACAGGAAACACCCAATTACGAATTCAACCAAATTCAGTCAACCAAGCAATCAAGTAAAAAGAGATGTGAGAGCAGTCACAGGGAGGTTTCGCCTCCCTCCCTCCCATCTCAGATTAGCAATGCTCCCTTTATTGCTCAATAGATTGCCCTACCCACTTCAATCGATTCCGCTTGCGCCGCTAGGGCGGAGCAGGGATTTCCACAACAATTCCGTCGTCAGGAAGACTACGCTGTGTATTCTCCCCAGGTTTCTCACATGAGCGCTCGGGTTCGCAAGGGTTCCTATCTTCGAGTCCTCTTCCTTTTGCCAACTTACCTCCGCGTTCGCCGTCCTCTCGCCTCTCTATGTTCTCACTCTGCTCTTCGGCTTCACGAGGGAAAAATCTCTTTAACCGATTACCAGAAAAGGTACCACGTAGCTGAGCTCCGTCAAGTTCAGAGAGAGAGTAGTTTCCGAGTACAGGATTCGCCTACAGTACATAATACGGTCCCACTAATCGAAAGGAAAGCTTCTTCGAACTCGACATGTCCGTGATACTAAAGGGATCATGTACCAACATAAGCATACCTAGTTCTAACGGTCCTTTACGCAGCTGGTGTCTCTCCTCGAAACATTCCTTCCATTTCTCTCTCATCCGCCTCAGATGCGCTCGTACCTCTTCAAGATCTTCTTTTCTTCTCCCGATTACTCGCGCTCTCATTACCACCAGTTCATCGGTTTAATGAGCCTATTCCTACGGAAGAACATGCTAGGTGAACACTTCTACACCTAATTAGTAGGATAAAGCGATCTAAATACTCCAGTTCATATAGTGTGAAGCCAGTGCTAGCCTTGACTGTCGTTCGATCAGCATAAAGTACATCTTGAAGGTGATCTACCCAGTCTATTCGAGCTGGATGTTTATAGGTTTTAGCTAAGATATCCGCAGCCACTCGATATCCTACCTTAACCAACCCATTAGCCTAAGGGTAGTATGCCGAGATTGCCACCCTCTTAATGCTATACTTCTCCGTCAACTTAGTAGTTAAATCCTTATTTTCAGGACTACCGTCAACGATCAGCCTCCTGAAAAGACCATGTCGATAAATCACATCATCCCATAGAAATTTAGATACTATTACACTGTTATTATGCGCGTAGTTCCACGCGCCTCTACCCATCCGCTAAAGGCACTTCGAGCTTCCACGAGATAGCTCTCGCCACGAGACTTTGGTATAGAAGTCACATCGACATGCACTTACTCCCATCTCTTATCCACATACGTCAGCCGCATCTGCTCTTCGATCCTCTAAGATGCTCTAAATTAGCATGCTCGATACGGCTTAATATATCTCTGGACGTCTGGTATAGGCTACCATAATAGAATCGATCAGTAACTCGAGCGAATGTGCTCTCACGCCCTTTATGTCCGCTGTTAGCATGCATCTCCCGTAGAATAAGCTGTCGAGCAGCTTCCCCGTCAACCAGCCTACGGGCAGGCCTCGCAGCATCCGGCCGTCGAAAGAGATGTCCCCCGTGAATGAAGTGCGTTCAGCAACTTGCTGCAGCAAACTGTTCAGTCTTCTGTTACTCCGTGCGGATCAACAGGACAAGCTTCTGTAACCTTTGAGAGAGAGATCATCCTCGTAGTCCGCGGAAAAAGTAGCCGACTTCGACTTGACCTTTTCTTTGGTATACGGACTGCGACCTACATATTAGAGGCTTTACTCGGCTCAAACATGATCAAGAGCTACAAGGAACGTGTGCATAACTACTTTAAACCAGCGGAAGATGCGCCGCAAAAGAGCGATCGCAACCGCAACCGCAAGCGGGAGAAACAACCCAAAGAACAGCCAATCAAGAGGCGCAAGAAGAAGGAGATGAGAGCCATCAAACCAGAGGTTACACACATCAAAGAAGAGGTTGAATAAACAGCATAGTCAAAGAATGTTCCGTCGTTTCCTTCTCTAGGCCCTCCAAGACAGAGAGGCATCGGTCAGCCAAGAAAAAAGAGAAAGGAGAAAATGAGACCCATCGCCAATTTCCCGTCAGACTGCTCTTCCGCAAGAGATTCATATCACCGCCAATGGTGATTTTTAGTTCCGTCACACCAAGATTGCCGTGAGACACAGCGGTGTCGTCGGCCTTCCTCTAGTCTTTTCCTTTCAACTTCGGTTTCTTTGTCGCCAACTTTGTCTTGGGTTTAACGGCCGGGGGTTGGGTGTCGCGCTCGCGGGCCGGGGGGATGGTGACGACGATACACATAGAGTTCTCCGCAAGGCTAGGCAACTTGGCCAAATCTTCCTGCAGAATCGATTAGCCTTTGGAGGTTCTTCTCATCTCACAACCTGAACGTAGCTCTCCTCTGTGGAGGGGGGGGGGATTGCAGGCAAGGACTTACGACGCCTTTGGGGGCCCAGTGCTTGACTATCGGTCCGTTGACCCACTCGATATCGGGACTGAGTCCCGCGGCCGGTTCTTTCAGACCCACCTCCGCATGCAGACCCAGTTTACCGAGGACGGCGTGCATTGACGCGTCGGTGCCCCTGAGAGAAGCAATGCCAAAACCGGCGGGCCAGTCGCTGATGAGCTGGCTTTGAGCCTCGCCGCTGTCCGCGAGGTTCGAGACCCCAATTGGGTACGCGTGAGCGCAGTGGATGCCCAGCGTCCCGCCTGCACGCAAAACATATCAGCCAACCTCGTCGCCCGGGGGCAGCTGGCGTGCTTTCCTTGCCGGAGCGCCTTTTTGCCCAGGGGGGCTGCTAGGGGTATATATCCCAGGCATAGGGTTCTTGACTTACCGTTTGGCATCCACTTCGGGTTTCTGAGAAGGTCTTGTAGAATGTTGTACGGCGCAAGGCTTGTAAAGTCCACCGGCGCCGGCTTGAGGCCCAGTCCTTGAAGAGGGTCTTTTTCACCGCCGGGAACGAATGCAATTCGTTGATGGTGGTACAGATTGTAAGTCACGATCACGCAGTGGCCGTTGGTGACCCCGGAGATCTCGTGTTCGCAGTCGCTGAGAAAGGCTGCCCAGTGCAGGGCCTGAGAATTTCTTGTCTTGTCACAGTCGTACTTTGTGGAAGAACCGGCGTGGTTCACGGTGAGCTGACCGCCCTCGTACTCGCTCGGCAGGAATAGAACCAGCGACCCGAACTGGTTCTCCGCGCCGGGAATTTCGATTCGGATCTTGGAGGAGCCCGGGTGTCCGACGTACACCTACCAGAACGCGTGTGTTAGCCGCGACCCTCAAACGTTCCATCACCACCTTACTCACGTTGATGTTGTGTAGCTCGGCCCTGACAAAGCCTCCGTCCTTGATGCCATTGGGCCCCATGTGGCGGGCATTGGGCAGCAAGAGATGCTCAACCCGATCCACGATTCCCATCGAGTACGGACATAGGTTGGTCGTAACGCGGAGAGCGTCCATGGTCCAGGCGTCATCCGCACCTTCGCCGTACCCATCATCGCCTGGCATTCCAAGCACGATGGGGTCACAGTGCTCCAAAAAGTCCCCGATTGTCATCGTGCTGTCCATCTCGCGGTCCGGGATCGGGAACATCACCCTGTTCGTCCAGCGGCTATGGTCTTCCCAGTCGATTACGATGGGACTGGGGTCCATTCTTGTGGTCGTTGTCGTCGTCAGGGTAGACATGCTCCCCCTCTTGCCCTTTTTCTTCGGCCCTTTTTCTGTGTCATCGGCCTGGCTCGCAGGCTTTCGTTCGATCCGTGAGACCAAAGCGGCGAAATCAGACAGAGGAATGGACCCGCCGCAAGTGGCGGCAATGTTTGCTCCCGATTTCATAAAGTCGGCCAAGGCATTGGAAAGATCGGCAGCGGAGGGATCAGCCGTATCAGCTGTCGAGGGGACAACGGATTCGGTCGGGGGGGCCTTGGGTACGACAGCTGCGGCCTTTGCTGCACGCTTTCTTTTAGAAGGCATGGTGCTTCGGCTCAGTGTTGTGTCCAACAAAAAAAAAAAAAGGTATACTGTAAGAGTAAGAGGTAGGTAGGGTGGAAGGTAGGAATGAAAGGTTTTCCTCGCTGACTTGGGCGGAGGTGCACGTCTGTAAATAGGACAAAGCAAGGCACTCGAGCTTTTGTAAAATTTCCGTAGCATGTGTACTATGACTAGGTAGGGCGTTGTTCACCTGCAGCACCCTTGGTGTTGACGGTTGCCTTGTGCGGCGGCCACATGTGGCCGACAAGGTTGATAAATTAAACACAAAAGGCGGTGTCTTGAAAACAGCAACCAGAATGCGAATCATTTTGGCCCCGGAGCCTGCAGAGCGGGTCTTCATACCTGAAGTGTGAGCCCCAAGTATCGCGTGGCATAAGCACTAGGCACTGTGTGCCGTTCCACAGACCCACTGGTCGCCTTTCAAGCAGGGGTGCAAGGGTCGCGCCGAGGGATGCAACTTGGATATACGCTAGAGCTGCAGTCACAGGGTGGAGTTAGTACCTGTGGCCCGTGCGTATTGGCTCCTTTCGAGCTAGGGCGTGTTTGAACACAGGAACGACGCCATCGCGACGAGCGAATAAGAAACGATCGGGGGGCAGAAAGCCTTGAGTCAGCGAACCACAAATTGTGGGCCTCCTTGAGGCCTCGGGCGAATAAGACGCGGCCACGTTTCTGCCTTGGGCATGATTTTTCTGCCACTTGGCAGGTTGACTTACCTTTCCCACAGCTCGAGCCTGAGGTTGTGACACGGAATTTCGTCCTAGGCTTTGAGCACAGCAACACAGACCATCAATCGCCAGCCTGTTTTCCACCTCGGTGCTTTTGCAGCATAGAACGGTATCACTACTCTTTGGAAGTTGAGTGTTTTTTTGGTGCATTGAGGTGCACATCGAGCACAGAGTAGGGCTCGGTTCTTTGTACACGACCGCCATTGTCCTACTTCCAAGTCTTTGTCTGGAGCTCTCACGATACACGACATGGTCGGCAGCCGGCCTGGTTGCCCTGGTTGAGCTGCAGGGACCCTTTGTGTCTGGCCTGGCGTTGAACCAGCATTGTACAGCGTTGTCTGGCTGGGTCGCTCTGTGACTAGACATTCGTCGTATGGAGGACAGCGGCCAGGGGGTAAAGGGCTGAAGGAGGGCCAAAGTAGTGATGTTCGCGACCTCCTCATACGGTGGTGGCGAACGTGGGAGCGATTTTTGTTGGCGGAATATCTTAATTAATTAGGTAAGGAAATATATCTAGTGTGGCTGCGGATTTGTTGTGTGCCAAGGTGGAAATTATTCGGCTAACCTTGCCGATAGGGTTAGGGCAGCACTGCGCCCACACTTACATAAGCCTTCTGAATAATGCATGACCAGGTGCAAAGGGCCTGGAATCTACGAGATGAACCTTCGGGGTGTGGGTGTGCGCGGAGGCAACTGTGTGTTGACTGCGTGTGTGTATTGAGAGACAGTCCAAAGCCACTACTAGTTCAGGCGCTTCTCCAAGCAAGCCGCATCCCAGCGCTTCGGATATTTATGGACCATGTTCCACATGGACGGGAAGAAGCGCATCCTCTCCGTCTCTTCCCAGTCGTCGGCCAATTCGGCCTCAATCCTGGCCCACAGCTCATTCCATTCCATCCACATCAAGCCAACGTGCTTGTGCGGTTCCATGATCTGGCGACGACCGTTCGGGTCAGCATCTCCATTCTCCGTGCAAGGGGAAATCATTCACGACGAACCTTGGGTTCCTGCTCCGGGTCGACTTGCTCTAGGACAAAGAAGAAGCAGCGCCACAGGTCGTCCTCCAAGAAGTCATCGGTCTCACCCCACACCGTCTCGTCTCCGATGTGCTTGATGGCCACCTCCAGGCCGACCTCCTCTTGGATTTCGCGCACAATCGTCTCCTCTGGGGTTTCGTCCTCGTCCACGCCACCGCCCGGGAAGGCCCAAGTGTCTTGTGAATTGGCTAGTTAGCGCAAACGGGTCCGACCGCGACCATGTGTGGTTTTGTTTTGGGAGGTGTTAGATTCTTTGCAACGTACCGGGAGGACCGTCTGTTTTGATCGTCTTGTTCTTCAGCCTGCGGTGGATCAGCAGGACCTTGTCGCCTTTCAGAACAATGCCCATGGTGCCCATCCTGGCCTTCTTGCCATACTTGAGGCGCGTGATGGTGTTGGTTTGGGGAACAGACATTGTGAGTTTGGATCTGAGATGTACGCGTTTTAGGGGATTTGTCCGACGACGAGCGGATGGCAGTGTAAGAGAAGCCTGCGGAGGTTGATGGATAGGTCGATAGAATGAATAAATAAAGGCTAGATGGCAATGGCCTTTATATACGGAGTCTCGAAGCCTCTTCGAGGCGTCGAGGAATGTGCGAGGGCACACCGCTACTTACACGCCCCACTCGGGTGCGCTCAATCCTTGGCGAAGTTGCACTGTTAGGAGGCCATGGCATAACAGGCAGCGACATACGGGCGGCCTTATACATGCCACTCGGGCGTCTGAGCGGCCGATAGGCACCCTGTGAATCAGCCTGTGAATCAGCCTCACTAATCCTTCCGAGTCTTGCAACCAATCACGTTTTGGCTACATGCAAGTCTCGACAGGCAGAAGGCAGAAGAAGCCTGCCGATGTGACACGTGCTCAAGCGCGATTGGCTACATGAACCCGTCGGTGGTGAGACAGCTGACCAGCCAGGTAGCAACAATGAATAGCAACGCGGCGGGGGCCCTGCGGCGTAGAGCTAGGAGGAAATCTGCAAGGAGGGAGATGCCCAATGCCCCAATTCCAGGGTTCGACTCTGAGCCAGCAAAGCCCCTTCTTCATCGACCGCAGCGTGGCGGGAACTTTCGGCCGGAACTAAGCACTCGACTACACCTTGAGCTCGCATCTATGTCTGCAATACGTGTTTGCGGCATAGTGTTCCGAGATAAACCGGGCGTGTGCGTAAGGCCAGGCTCGTAAGACGACAAGGAGAATGCGCTATGAAGAGTGGAGGATTTGTGCCTGGAGTTTTTGATTGGAATGTCAGCAACATGTGGCGCCTGACCAGCGGAAACTGTTTGAATGCTAGCTGTTGCCTTGGATAGTTACTCCGATGTACTATTACGCCGCAATAAAGTCTTGTCCACAGCGTGTGGTCCTCGAGATGCGTATCATGGCTCGGTCACATGTGATTCTTGCGCCACAGCAAGGTCGTGCGATGGAGGTAATACTGCTACAACCAGGTCATGCTCGAGGTATTCAGACATCCGTTCCCAGTCCACATACTGCTGCTGGTACAATTGCCGTACGAAAAGTTGCGAGATCGGGCTCGCACGGCTCTCTTTCTGTAAGGAAGCCTAGCTGTATTAGAAGTATCGGTGAATAGCAAACCTAGTAATAAGGAGGACAAATCTGAGGAGGGAAAACAAAGGAGGAACCACGCCCCCTCTCACTCTCTCTCCTGATATCGTACGCTCCACTGTAAGGGGTACCCGTTGTCTTACCTCTCTCCCTTGCGTCCCTCTTCTGTATACGCCATCCATCCCTTGCGTACGGAATATTATTCCTCCGCCACACGTGATCGTTAAGCTCGGCGCTGGTTCCTCAGGGTTCAACCCGTCACAAATCTTCCGCGTTCAGTCGGGCAGTGTCAAGACGAAGGCGAAAGCAACCTTAAATCGGAGCCCCATATAGTAGTGTAGTATGAAGATTGTGAACTCTTACTTACCCCCTCTTGCCCCGGGCGGTATTGACAATCGATCAGCCTGTTCGGCACCACTGCACTATCGACCCTCGGTTCTGCATGGTGCGTGGAATAAGACCATTCAAGGCGCTTCGATCGTAGCAGGACAGGCAAGGTCTGTCACTTTTCTATGAGGGAAGGCTGGCCGTGTTGGATGAAATCTCTGCGACTGCGACTGCGAATGCGGATAGTGGAAAGGTTGACAGACAGGCGGTGGACGTTGAACTTCCTGCGGTAGGTGAGCGGTGCTTCGGGAACCGCCACGATTTGCTGTCCAGCTTTCGTGCGACAATGCACTGGCGTGACGAAATTGGCGTATTTCACGCAGAGCCAGCTTGAAGCCAGCCATCCAAGCCAAATACGACTGTTGCAGACGATGTCAATGTTGAATTCGTGGTCCAGAATATCACGGCCTGCGAGCCTGACATAGTAGGATATCCCACACGAGGCTGAGCGCTCACATATCTTTCACGCCGATGTAGTTGCCCTAGTTGGACCTCGTCGTCTCAGAATTCATGTCATAATTGCACCCTTAATAGCGATCTATCCTGTTCAAGGCTGCGCCATGAGACAGAGTACCAATGCGAAATCCCCAGTTTCTCCTTCTTTACTTCATACACGATGTCCGAGCCCACGTAGCGGCTGGAGTCGAAAAGATTTGTACGGTTCTTGGCCGTCTTGATCTTCAACAAGCCCAGCACTCCTATTCTCGAACGAGAATGATCAAAGAAGTCATCAAACGGGTTGGGATCTTACGTCTCCACTGCTGCCTTCTACCATATGTTCGCAATGTGTACCGGCTGGCTGATTGATATGGGGGGATCGACTGCTCTGGATAATCTGGCGAGTTCCACTTTCACCAGAAGCAAGAACAAGCATGACTTGGCCATCCCACTGTGTGCTATTCGTTTCAGTCTCTATCCCTGCCTGTTGTCGGTACGCGATGAGCACCAGAAGCTTCAGAGCCACTACGAGTCCACGGCCGAGAGGTGGGTTGATGAAGTCGAGAAGCTCTGCCTCGGGGTAATAGGTGTTGGCTTGCTTGCCCTATGGTTCCATATTCTCGGGCCACGATCTCGGGGTGCAGGGGTTGCCTTGCCTCCGCAAGTCTGGCTTCGAAGGCAGTAATGTCCATGGTGAAATCATGGTTTCTGGCGATGACTAGTTTGAGTGGAGCGAACAGATTCATCATTTTGACCGTGTCGATGACACTACCACCCCCGACGGCGATAAATGCATCGGGCTGGTACTTTCTCGAAACCTGGATGGCTTTGAGTATCCTAGCGGTCTCCACGAGCCGGAGCTCGACATCGATGGCGTCGGCGTCCTCCTGGATCTCCACCACGGTGGGCGCCCACCTCGCAGTTCGCACAGGCGAGATTTGCGGTACACAGCCCGAGCGACCACCGCGCTTGCTCTTGCTGCAGTAGGGGATCTTTCAGATATCGAGTGTCAAAGTATTGATGAATGGATGGACGCCCTCGCCAACAAAGTGCTCATCCGGTACACTGAACATCAGACCCAGCGGGTACCCGAACGTTGTGAACTCGTTGGACACTTCGGGGCCGCCTGTATCACTAGGAGCATTGGCGTCCCGCCCATCCATCAACAGCCTTTTTTTTTTATCAGAGTGTCATGTGTGGTGCCGGACTCGACAATCTTATTGTCACAAATCGCCAAGCACACCACGCACGTGACAGCCCCTAATTATGTAAGCACCGCGTTCTCACCGCCTAAGGGAAGCTTCACTTCCCTCATGCTTGGAGTCTTGGTTAAGACATACTACCAAGGAATACCTATCCCACCTGTTGCCTATCTCTGCTCTCTGCCTATCTACATAGGCCATTCCTAACACTTGACGTTCGCGCGGCTGTCCACATGCTTTGCGGTTCTTGGGTGCCGTCGACTGAGGAATTTAGGTAGGAGTTCGCCGTAGACATGTCCAAGACGAATAGCCCTTGCGGAGGGGTTTCTGGTTGCTCCACGGATCTGTGGGCGGCCGGTGTGGTGGTGGCAGGTCGGAGCTCGTCAGAAGCTGGTCCTTGAAGCTCCCTTGGAATGAATCATCGTGTGTTCATCCAAAAATCAAGTGGCCGAAGCGATAGCAACCCAGATGATGGACGACGAACGGCACACGAGCATCGACGGCCCATGCCGAGTGGATTTGTTGGCACGGAGGTGGTCGATATTCATGACAGTGAATTGCCTCAGGACGACGATATCATGTCAAGAGGCTTTCATCAGGTCATGCATCCCGATTTGATGAATCCGATCGAGAATCAGGTTGCCTGCACGGATGTAGGTGGGATGTTCATCGTCTCGACGATCGGAGTTATTGACACAGACCTCCTCTTCTTTCTGCTCCTCTTCCGTTCGTAGACCAACAACCCATGATATTGACCATCAATCAGTCGTTTCGGCACTCGTACAGGGCTAATTCCCCGTTCCAAGTGCGTGGTAGAACAAGGCAATTCGGATCGCTTTGATGGTGGCGGGACAGGACGGGACAAGGTTCGGTCGCCTTTCAGTGAGGAAGCCTGGCTGCACTAGAAAAATGTGCGAACATAGAAGGGGTGAGAGAGTAGAAAGGCAGACAGGGAGACAGACATGGACATCGAGAGCCTCGCAATTCCATAGTAGAAGCGAGTGGAGGCCATGACTCAACGTCTCATCCTCTAATCCGTGACTCGCCATCTGGACCGTCGGCAGCGGAGGGATTCTGACAACATCGACGTTGAATGAAAAGTCCTTGCCACCACGTCTCATCTTTCAGGACTTTACGTAAGAGCAAGGCTGCCAGGACGCCATCTCGTATGAGCGCATCAACCACTTTAAAAATCCCGAATGCGCCGGCGACGATTAATAAAGGTTGCCGCTGCCGTAGACCACGAGGTTGTTTGTGCGCTCGATGGTCACAGTCTACAACGAACTACGCAGCTCTTCAGATTGCTCACCTGGAAAGCCGGGTAGTTGCGGCATCAATGGAGGGGGGTTCGGGGTGCTCTCAAACACGACCCTGTAGAAATTCGACACAAGAAGACTCTCCGAGGCGTGTCATTTGCGAACCGGAGAAGAAGGTGTTTTAAACCTTTCCTTTGGAACTGCAGAGCACAAGCTGCGTAGTAGGTGTCAAGGGGGCCGGCGGTGGGCGGGCGCAGGACGTAGGATGTTGACCAGTAACTACACAAAGATTGAGAACTTTGAACTCTGATCGAAACTCACTGGAGCGCCCTCAAAGTCGAAACAGTAGAGGAGGAATCCTGCCACCACGATCCAGACCTTGCTCAATTGCTTGAGAATGTACATCCGCCTCCTTGTCTTATTTGCCCTTCACAATTTTTGCGCTTCATAATTGTTTTCCCTCTTCAACTCTTCAATTAGTTCGGCAGTCTTCTCGTTGTCTAGGGGCTCAGGGAGGGCCATGGACATCGAACCGGCGGTGCCATGTTTGCGGTTTCGTAGTTCAGGGTCAGTCATGGTGTGCGCCTGTCGACATTTGTTTCTGCCACGTTGTACCCCGAGCACACGCTCCGGCCTGCATGCAAGGTACTCTAGTGCTGCATCCAGCGGTACAGGAGCCCTGAGACCCTGGAGGCCGTCATTCAGACGCCAATGGAACATGATGCAGGTTGTATCGAGTGTCGTCGAGCTCGAGGTTGACAAAAGGGTCCGCCGTATGTCCATTTACATTTCACAATGACATCCCGAGCCTCGTCAAGGCGATCGGCGGCAACCAAGAAACGAGGAGATTCTTCATGAAGCCACCCTGTGAGACAAACAATGCCTGGGCACCGACGACATCTATTATCGTGTCTTCTCGTCCTATTGAGCAGGGCACGCTGTTCCCATTCATGCCCGCGATTCACTCGTCCTGACAAATTTTCCAAGCCAGATTAATTAGCTGAAAGGCCTCTACCGTCGTCACTCCTGAAACGGCTATTCTCGGGGTCTTCAGCGGGTGTTTCTGGGTCGTCAGACCAGTCCACCGGCGACAATCTGACCTTTTCGACGAGATTGAAGCCGATTCTGTTGTCGTGGAAGATATTGCACACGTGTACCTCATCCGGTTCGTCAGTGCGATCCGCGACATGCATTCTGAAGGCGTGGCGCATCGAGGTATTAAATCGGAAAAGGTTTTTTATCTGTGCGATTAGAGGAGATCAGTAGGCAAAGTTTGAATCCGACACGGAACTGGACTGTTTGTACTGAGAAGCCGAGCACTAGCAGATTCGGCACTGGCCGTTGCTTTACCGGTACCATCTTCGCCGTTTCCTTTCACTGATACCTGATTCTGATCCTCGCCCGCTTCATCGATCGGTCTGAATACAGACGAGTAGCTCTTTGCCGTGATCGGTAAGTGGCAGCGTGTTGGCTTTGCTGGGAGGTAAAGATACCTGGTCTTGCTCCGACTCTTGTAGACTGACTGACCGACCGTTGAATCGATCAATCAGCCCATTCTCACTGCCAACCTCCAGGCCTGGGTAGAAGAAGGTTAATGCACTTCGATTGTAGTAAGGAAGGACTGAACAGGACAGAGCAGGACAGGGATCGCTCGCTGTTCGGTGAGGAAGCCTAGCTTTATTAGCAATATCGGTGACAGCGGAGGCAGGAGTGGAGAGGTAGACAGGCGGACATGGAAAATTGAATATGGAACAGGATCAGTGTGCCCCCGACAGCGTGATATGAAGACCGTGGCTTTTATTTCGATCTCGTAAGCCTCGCTTTTACCAAGGTCGTCGGAGTCTTCATCCTCACCATCAACGACTTTCAACCCGTAATCATCCAGGATGTAGTTCATATCGCGGATTCCGGCCGAGAAGCCTGCATCTTTCTCGTGTAGTGTAGAGCGACCGGCCACGGCGGCAGTCGTATCAGGCTTTCGGCATCATCACGTCACTAATCTCGCTTTGCGTCTGGGTGGAGGAGGGAAGGGCGCTTCGATCGTGGCAGGTCAGGGGGTCAGTTGCTTCACTTTCCGCGCGGAAGCCTGACTACGCTACAGATCTCTGCGAATGCAGATGTAATAGCGGGGGACGGAGGTTGAAAGACAGACAGATGAACGTGGAATCGAAACAGGAGATGTGGATCGGCATGCTTACGAAAGAATATCTCGCTGGACGTCACGGATCGTGCACAACTTTGTTTTCCTGCTCTTGTCCCTACTCTTATAGACCGACACTGTGGGCGGTATCGACATCGGAGCCAGTCTTTTTGTATGGGCGGTCGTCAGGAGGAATATGATAACGCGTCATTTTGATTCGATCGTGGCAGGATAGGCGAGGTCTGTTGATTTCCTGCGAGAGAAGTCATGTTAGAAACGTTCTGCGAACGTGGAAGCGGAAGGGAGTGTGGAAAGGTGGGCGTACAGACAGACGGACGGACGGACGGAACGACGGACGAAGATGGAACATGCATGGCACATGAATTGAGAAGCCACGCACAGAGCCTCGTAATATGATGTGAGATGAAGCTCGTCTCCTTTGTCTTCCCTGCTCCTGCGTAGGTAGACCGAGCCTAGCATCGATAGTCAGCCTCCTTGGTAGCAGCAGCCTGGTTGCTTCCCAAGTCCTTCTCTTGTAGACCGACCTGCCGACGGCCTCAAGGATCAACCTTTCGCCATCACCGCACCACGAATTCGCAGGTCTGAGAGGGTGGAACAAGACAATGCACTTCGGCTTCGATCGTAGTAGGACAGTAGATGATAGTACAGGCACGGTCGCTTTCTGCTGGCTGTGGAAGAAGCAGCGTTAGAGCCCCATATAAGCGAAAGCAGAGTAGGGAGGGCAGAGAGATACGCACGGATAGATACGGAATAGGGAACATGAAGGGTATTATAATGTCACGGCCTTGGCAATGTTGAGTGTTGAGTGTTGAGTGTTGAGTGTTGAGTGTTGAGTGTTGA